AGAGAGAGAGAGAGAGAGAGAGAGAGAGAGCTTTGAAGAAGTTATTTTGCACTGTGCCAACAAGATTTCCTTCCTTCCTTTTGAAGTAGATTGGGAGCAAGTGGCAGAGCTTTAGTGGGAGTGTGTCTGTCTTCAGGCAGATGTGGTATTGGTGAGCACTGAAACGAATGCCCAGCTCTGGACAATCTCTACATTGCTTATCATCCTACTTCATCAATTAAACAGGTGAGGAGTTGTACATCTTACCTCAGGGTTTTATTTTTGACTATGCTTTCTTTAACATTTTCCTTTGATGTAGACACCATGGCCCCTCAGGACATTGGACTGAATGCATAGAGTTTTCTTTACAGAAGATGTTTAAATATCATTTTTGGTTCACAAATAAAAACAATGGGGCACACATCTGAATCAATTGAAAACTCGAACAACTTATTTCTGAAAAGATAAAAGCAAATAAAAAGATCCCACATTTAGCAGCCTAGGAGTAAAGGTTAATCTATTCACTTTTTATTTCACTTAGCATTTATTGAGTGAAAGCCTCATACCAGCTAGGCACTGAGCATCCCATCCTTCCAGGAAGGAAGATGAGTAGGGTCTTGAATTGACTGATCGCCATTGATAATACCTGAGCAGTTTCTCATTTTGCTTCCAGAAGTATTTAGCTGTTGCTATTTTAGTTGCTAAATATGAAGGACACGAAAAGGAAAGCAAATTCCCTCGGTGAGGTCATCATGGCTGAGAAGAGAGCCATTTTTCTTATATCGTAATTTCTGATTTACAAACTTAGAGAAACATGATACAAAAATATGTGTGCACAGATGTACGGCCACTTCCTCATCTCAGGACCGTCTTTGGGCATGGTGGAGAGTCATCTTCACTGTGACAATAGGACAGGAGAGACTGTGGGCTCCTGAGCATCAGGCAAGGAGACTGACCTAGGAAATTGTTGATTTAGTGCAGGCATTCTCAATGTGCTGTGCTAGAAATGCATCTTTTCTTCCTGAATTCATAGGTGTACATCCAGTTTCTCATGTAGGGTGGCCTATGATGGCTCTTTTCAACTGTACAGTGTTCTTAGTCATGGGATCAGAAATTATAGACCTACTATGAGTTCATACTTTCTCACTGTGCTTCTCTGTGGACATTCATTTCTAAGATCATTCTATATGCACAGTCTGAGACCTCTTGTGCTCCTACCCCCTCGTATGGATTTCCTTTATTTTCCCTCTTTTTATGGAAAAATAAATTATCTTAACCCCTAAAGAAGGGACTCTCTCTTTGAATTAAAAAGGTATTGTCTATCATATTTTTTTGTTTGTTTGTTTTTGAGACAAGGTCTCTCTATGTAGTTCAGACATAGTGAACTCACTATGTAGCCCAGGTTGGCCTTGAACTCGTGCTTATCCTCCTGATTCAACACCCCGAGTTCTGGGAGTACAGGTGTCTGCCACCATGTTCAACTGTCTGTCATATTTTCTAGTACAGGTCCCTTACTCTCTTCACTATGGAATAAGGATAAAATGAAGATTCTTTTCTGCAGCCAATTGGAACAAACCACGAACTGAGTTTGTTACAAGTAACCATAGTCTTTGAAGAATACTCACCATTTTCTTCAGTGGTTTAATCTTTTGTCCAATAATGTGCATTTGAAGTTTATGGATACAATTATTGCTTAGAGAACTGGAAGGCTTGAATGGAAGCCTGGGGAAAGGCAAGAAAATGTTAATGTGTTTGAATAAATTTATGGGAGGCAGGAACATTAAATGTTTTTCTGCTTTTCAGTGTTCATCATCAGTGTGTTCGATATTCCCCTAATGATGAGAAAATAGACCATATCCTGAATCAGCTCATTCATATAGCTATATTGAAAGGCAGAAATGGGGAAGATGGCCACCTTGTTGTGACCTTTTGTAAAGGTGAGAGAGAAAATCAAAACTTCTCAGAATCTATCGCGTACTGATTTCTGCATGTAAAACTCTCCCCACCTTGACATGATGAAGCCCTATCTTCCAATGTGACTGTACGAAAATAAAGTGCCTAGGAATTAATTAATTAATGTTTAAAGAGGTAATAGAGGTAGAGGCTTCATTTGATATGATTAAAATTATATAAATAAGAAGGAGAAAACTGTTATTTTCCTCTCTCCCATGTGAGAATACAGCTTGATGAGTAGCATCTGAAAGCTCGGATTAAAGCCCTTAGAAAAATCTGAATCAGTTGACACCTTGATCCTTGGCTTCTCTATTTTTTTTAGAAATATAGAACTAATGCTATAGATAAATGCACATATATGAGGACATAGTTTTAGAGAAATTGGGTCTTAAAATTCTGAGGTCTGAGAAGTTTTTAATAGGCCATCTTCAAACTAAATAAAAGAGGAGGTGGGAACATAGCTTAGTTCAAGTCCCAGAGCCTTAAAAGCTGGAGAGTTTGTGAAATAACTCTCAGTTCAAAGCGTAGTTCCCCAATTGGGGCTCACCCCAGCAATCTTAGGATTCTCACATGAAAAGACAGGAATATAGTGAAGTTCTGTCCCAAGGCTCCAGCCAACTAGAAGATCCTCCCACACTGGGGGTAGGTCTTTAAAAGTCAGTCCATTCACTCATATAACAGTCTACTCCAGAAATATCCTCATAAAATACCCTAAGAGCAACACTTCACCAGTTATGTCAGTATCTTTCAGAGCAGGAGTTCTTCCACAAATCTGGTTCATGGGAATCCCAGTGGATCAGACTCAGCCACTTGTGCTAGAAAGCCAATTAGAGTGATAAATTGTGATGACATCACACAGGGCAAGCAGATATATCCCAGGATGTAAGATTTGTCTTTAAAATGCTTATCATAGTCTGAGAGTTATATACGAAAAAGGAACAAGGGCATGGGTTGGTAGTTTCCATGGTTAACAGTCTAGTTCTTCTCGGTTGACCATGGTTTAGTTGAACATTATTTTAGATAACTATCTCTTACTAGTCATGCAGAGCTTTTTTGCCGCTAAGAAGTTTGCTATTTCTTGAGGGGTAGTTTTGGCTCTTTGTCATAAGATCTTCATCCATCAGGCCTGTTTATTCTAGTATCAAAGTAGAATAGAAGAGAATGCCTCAAAAGAACTCAGAAGAGGAAATATCAAAAGAAAAGTAGATGCAAAGAAACAAAATGGAGTTAGGTCTGTGACTAATCCCTCCTTCAAAATTGATGCCTATAGACATCACAACCTAACCTCTAGAACCATGAGAAAGTAAATTTCTGTTGATCAAAGAAGCCACTGTATGGTACTTTATTTTGGCGACCTGAACTGACTGGAACAGAACTGGTTTTCTAAGAAGATTCTCCCTTTCTCTCATTGGCCAGATGGTGTTATACTGTTTCTAAGCAAATCACTTTCAAGGGCAATTCTTCATTTAATCAATTGGTTCTCAACCAAATGAGAGTGATTCATGTCCCCAAGAGCCATTTGGCAACTACTGGAGAGGGAGAGGGAGAGGGGTTGTGATTGTGACAACTAGGACTGGCATATAGTTTAGAGAAGTCAGAACTATTCTGAAATATCCAATAATGAGCAGTACATTTTTTTGTTCCACAACAATTGAGAAATACTTTTGCCTAAAACTCAATAAGGCAAAAGTGGAGAAAATATGCAAGCTGATCGCAGATGTTTTGAACTCCTGAAATTAACTGAACATTAATAGAGTCCTAACAAAGATGACTGTAATTCTTATTTTCTACAGGTGTGAGAAAGAGAACAAAAAGAACACACAGACACCCAAACTGATCCCTCATCAGCAAGAAAGATGCAAGATGACCATAATGGATTTGTGACACTAAGCCAGATTCTTATCTAGTGTTTGGGCAGATATTGTATCTCCTCTGTCTTTGTGGAAGCATCATGAAGTAGTAAGTTTGTGTCTGTTTTCTTCAATTTGGTTTTATTTCTTTGGGTAGACACACCATGCTCCCTGTCGATTCTACTGATGTTTAGCTGTACAGTAGTGGAAGTGGGATCTGGAAAGGAGAAGAGATGGGAGGGTAGATTTTAGGTGCAGTAGACACTGACTGATGATACATATCTCCACTAATGTCTGATCCTCAGTTTATCACCGTCTTCTATATTTTCCAGATTTCAAATATAGATTTTTACCTGATGGTGTCTAAGGGGCAGGTGTGTGGTTAACACACAGAATACCTTCACAATGGCCACACAAAACTATTCAGTGCCTTTGCTCTTCTCTCGGAATCTTTTAATCCCAATTTGTGGCATACTTTCAATGGTGATGTCACCACTGAACTTTATCACTGATTTTAGAAATCACAAAAAGGTAAGAAGTCTCTCCCATTATTTGTTATAAAAGTCTCATAGAAAAGCCCCAAGGGACCCCTACGTGTTCCTAAATAAATTTGTCCTCTATGATTCCCTTGATTACCTGCTTCTAAAATCCAAAGTCTAAGGGCTGGGGATTTAGCTCAGTGGCACAAGCACCTGCCTGGCAAGCATGAAGTGGTGAGTTTGATTCCTGGCACCAAAAAATAAAATAAATAAATAAATAAATAAATAAGTAAAATCCCAAGTCTATGTCCTTTCATTAAGATATTCCTCACTACTGAGCTTCTTCCTTCATGCAACAGGTTGAATAAGATCATTCTTTTAATTTTGTGACACATTTCATCATTCTATTTGATTTGAAGGAAGATAGACTAGTATTGATAGTGCATTTTTTAAGGCCCCTCATGATGACTTAAATTTTACTACTTCTCACATAATAAAGACTGTGTTTCAATGAGCAGAAAGGAGGAGATAAAGGAGAAAGACCAGGCAGAAGAGAAAAGGGGAAAAGAGAAGAAAGAAAATCAGATCTCAAAATTCTTTCCTTCACATAATATCTGTTCAGAGTATTTAAATGCTCATTTACAACTCAAAAACAAATCATAATGTCTTCTTTCTTAAATGGCTACTTCAAATCCCCAAACTGAAGGGAAGAAAGTATAAAACACCAAACCAGTTGAATACAAATATGAATAATGACTAAAAAGAAATTAATATTTCTAAGATATTTCTTATCCCATGAAGGTTTAATGTGATAATGTATATAAAGCATTTAGAGTAGTTTCTAGTATAAGACATACTCAATAATCTGAATATTTTTATTATATTGATTGATAGTATGCGTGAAATCTTTCCTTCATTGTGGAAATGTAGGTAATTTGGTTTCAGTAACAGTCTCCTTTAATGCTTTTTTTTTTCCATATTTTTAGACTTAGTTACTCATACTAGGAGCTTTGATTGCAAAGCAGCATAATCACTTAAAAGTTTGGCACCACTTGAAATAAAAGAAAACCATCTTTTAAAGTTTGAATATAATCTTCCTAGTGTTTTTGGTTTATTCTCAAGAAGAGCATAGTGTAGGAAGGGAAAAAAAGGATTACTTTTCAGGGAGATATAATACCAAGCTTACGACGAAATTTTAGTACTCAAATTTGCAAGTGCCAGAGCTTAAAAAAAATCTTAAATAAAGCTTTTGTGTGGTCCCTGCCTTAGAAGATAAAATCTGGAGGAGATTACTACTGCAGTAAACAGTAGGACAGGAGCTTTGTCTGACGTAGCCTGAAAATTAGAAATTAATGTAGGCAATGAATGCAACTGCCTGGCCAAAATCAACTGGGAGCATTGTAGAAGGGAAATACGTGGAAGCCTAATGTTTTTAGGAACTCTATAGAATGCACTTTTCATTATAAATTATTTTAAAGTTTTGTTGGCTACATTTTACTTATTTCAAACTTATTATTTACATGTATTATTTACTGCATAGATATGGATTGGCAGTGTATACAAACACGCATTCATAGATACTACTTTTCATGTGCAATAAAATACTTGTTCTTCATGCATAAAGAAACAAGTTTTGTCAAATAGAAAAGAATGCATCAGTCAATAGTGATATCTTAAATACCAGAAGATGGCAAAACTTACTACATAAAAAGTCAGACCTCAAAGTGGCATTTTACAGGTTTTAAAGTTGTTCCATTGTACAAATTTGCAATGAAATTAAAAAGAAGACATAGGGAATCAAAAGTCACAGTATATTAGAATAGATTTAATATGCTTCAATTAGGTTTTCTTTTTAAATTTAAAATGTTTAGCACTATATAGAGGGTAAACAACTCCACAAGATAATGTTTTCTTCAACAGAAAAGCAAAAATAGTCTAAAGTAAACTTGGGTTATCTGGATTTTGGGGGACATATTTTGCAACTCCTATATTATGAATAATTGAGAGCAAAGCAAAATGAGTACTGGTTATGGGCTTGCAAATATATTCCGTCCAGGGGGGACTTAGTTTATTTATTTTCCCTTTCCCTCGGTAAAAAAGTATTCTCAGCAATTTATAAATCCATTTCAATTGTTTCTTCTCGATGTAAATTTTTACTAATTTCATTTTTTCTTTGAATCCATTAAAATCTCTGCAAGCTTCCTTCAATAAATAAATCTAAGTTCTTTAACGCATGCACAATTTATGTCTATGTAACAGTCATCATCTTACCTACTTTTTATGATTAGCCATTAGTATCACGTATGCAAAGACACTTGCCTAATAAAGAGGCTTGACTGGATTATCAGCTTGGGGAGGAGGCATGCAGTCCTGCATGCATCTGTTGCACACTTACTCTGTGTGACGGTATAAATGTTCTGCAGAAGTGTAAAGGAATAAA